TGTTTTAGTGCACATTAATAAATACTATAATTTTAGCGGTTATGTTGATAAGTATTTACAATTTATCCGCTTGTTTTAAACTATTTCATTTCGGTTTTTGTTATTCTTTGTTAAAATTATACACTAAATAACCGAAAAATTTCAGTTCTGCATAGTTGTACTAATACATATTATTCAAACAAAAAGTTATTTACAGAATAAACTGACCGATTTGAAACTGACAACTATTGTTGTCGATTAAGTCAACAGTAAAATAAGAATTTAAAATTTAAAAAGTAACGTTACCTTCGTCAGTTTTGGAAGGCAATATTGCAGACTGATATTGTGGTATCAAAAACAGTTATTGTCAATCAAAAAGAAGTTTGGTGTTTGTTTCAATCAACCCAAAATTCATTTCGGAATGACAAAAAATAGGAAACAAAAATGTTGCAGCAGTTTTTGACTTTTTTGCTCCTACAGATATGCACAACGATTAAAGAAAAAGTGGTTTCATTTTTGTTCATTATTTCAGCTTTTTCAAGTATTTTGTTTAACAACACATGAATTTATGCATATTTACGTGTGACAATTTATACGTCAATAGAGTTAAAACTTATAACAACCTTTTTTGTTAAATCTATTCAAGATCTTGTTTTAATCAGCTCTAAATTAACTTGAGACATTTTGAGAATAATAATCAGAAATGTTTTAGTCTTCAAAATCTTGATCTTACAAACCAGATAAGCATAATAAACAGACCAAACATACCCTACTTTTGTCACTTGTTTCAGCTGTTTTAAAGCATTTTTCAATCTCTGTATAAATCAATGAATAGTTACATCTGTTAGCTCTTGAATTTACAGATGATGGTTCATGGTAAAACGGTTCATGTTCAAAACAATTCTATATAAGTTTTTATTTTCAAGAACTTCAAGTAAAAGTTTAAACTTGTTAGGAATGATAATCAGGAATGCTTTAGCTCTCAGATTTTTATTTTTTATATAAACTCACCATAAACAGTCAGAGCACAGCTTATCTTTGGCGTTCGCTTTATTTTTTTAAAGATACCTATGCATAAATTTATGCGCAGTTACATCTGTCAATTCCGAAGTTTATGGATATAATTTATGAAAACCTGTCTAAATAAATCTATTCAAAACTTTTTTTTTTTGTTTCAGTTAACTTCAAAAAAGTTCTAGAAAAAAAATTTTTAGAAAAATTGTGAAAACTTCTTTATTTCTAGACTTTTTCAGTTTTACATACACACAGTTAGCACGTAAAATGCAAATTTTTCTTCTTTGAAATCTTCATATATCTGTACATATATAACTTTATATGTAAACGCATTCGTCAATCGCAAAATTAATCTGATTAAAGTTGTAAAAATTTATTTGGCTTCATCACTTCAAACACATTTTTTTCATCTTAATTTCAAAAAAAAAAAAAAAAAAATTTGAAGTGCAAGAGATGTTAATTGGAACTGCTGCAACTTTGTCATCGTTTTTTGTTCTGAAATATTTGATACCAGAAATTAGGGCTTTTGAGTCAAATAGTCTATGTGAGATGATTTCTAGCAGAAGACAAAAAAAAAAGCCGATTATCTAACATTTTCTGGCATTCTTCTGGTCTAAAGGATTGTTCATCAAATACAGTTTCCACTAAGATGACAAAAATTTTAAGAGTAAATAACTAATCATCAACAACATTCTTAACCTAGTTAGTTTATGTAATTATGTGTCCACACACATGAAGAGGTTATTTTATTCTTTGGTCGACCATTAGCTATTTTTTTTTCTTACTAAAGTATTAAGTCTAATAATCAAATAAATCTTGACTATCAATTAATTTTAACTTATAAAGCAATTATAGCTAAAGTTCACACTCACACACACATACACACGAAAAAAAAATTTAATTTATGAATTAACGATTAATCATATGAGAGAAAAAAAAAGTTTATTTTATTCATCAGTCATAAATTACGCAATTAAAATTGTATACATTCATTTACCGATTAGCAAAAATACGAGAAAAAATTGCTAGACAGTTTAACTTTTGATCACTAATTACTGATGCTTTAAAAAATTGTATTAAAACTAAAAAAGAACTAGAAAAAAATTTAAAAATAGCTTAATTTTGTTTGAGTTTTTTCTTGATTCAGATTTGTGGCGTTGATTTCTATGCTTTTCATAAGCACAAATTAGATACTTTTACTTAAATTTTAATGCTATTAACGTGTTCTATATTTACCTAATTATCACTCTCAGTTTTATGTGTAAAATGCAACAATATCAAAGCAACTTTTATGCACTTTGAAACGCTTTTTTTTTTTCCGGTTTTCCCTCTCCGTTCCTCGTCTCTTTTTCATAGATGAACAAATTCATCGTATCAAAGCCAAAAGTTCCTCAGCTCAAGCAATTTGAACGTTCAAAATAGGCAAAAAAAATATCCAGCCAAAATTGATCTATGCTTCAAACACCATAAAACTGATTGATTCAGAAATTCAGCGAATTTTAAAGTACTGTTCACTCATATTAAAACAGTAAAGTTTTTCTGGTGTAACAAGGAAATGATTAAATTACTTAGTCAATTTTCTATAAAAAGGCATTTACTTATAGTAGCACCAACAGCTCATTTTTCATCTGCGACAGGTGGTGATTTATCCTGATTAAATTCAATGAAAAAAGCCAAAAACAAGAAAGAAGAATCTTTAACTGAACTGTTAATAAAAGAAACAAATTAATAATTCTCTTAAGTGTTATAAATGTAAATTATTCTGTACTTTTTATAATTAAGTTGTTTTTTTTTCGCAATCAGAATAGCTAACCATCTGAGAGCTCTCTGTTAATAAATTTTTGCTTTTTTTTTGCAGATGGCTTAAGAACATCAGTTCTGGTATTCGAATATGGTTTTTATAATTAGTTTTTGAGATCACAAATAATTAAATAGTTCAAAGATCGTATTGAAAGAATAGGTTTATTATCAAAATATCTGTATACCATATTCATCGATTGACTGCGCTGCTGAATAATAGCTTTATAAGTTCAGTGTTTATAAGTTTAGTCTGAATTTTCGTTTTAGTAAGCAGGTGCATTTGAGTGAACTAACTGTTTTTTTATTTAAGATAAAAAGTAAGTTATAAAACGAATAAAATTTTGTCTATAGTAAAACAAATGCTGAATATGCTAATGATTCATTCAGAATGATTCATTCCAAATCAGAGTTTTACTTATGAATAACAAGAACAAATTAATTAGCAAATAAGCTTTTGATCTTTGATTTCAAAGCATATTTAAGATTGTCTAAGCAGTACAACATGGTGCTAAAATGTACAGAAGATTTTCAGCAGAGATGATATGGCAATTAAAAGTTGTATGAGATTAATCTCACGTTAAGCTGCCTAATTACTCTGATATAGTATTCTGCTGACATTTAATAATTGCACATCAAAATCGTTTAAACAGATAATCATCTGACTAATTTTCGTCCGTAAAACGGTTAGCTACTAAGTGGGTTAGTAAGAAACTAAAGGTCATTTTAATAAATTTAACGCGAAAAAAAAGATTATATAAATTCAGTAATATCAAACGAAAAAAGCATAATTTCTATTTTCAAGTATCAGCAGATTTAAAAGCTAATGTTATGCACTTTTTTAAGAAAAAATATTTTTCAACTAGAATAATTTCAATCCAAAAAACTTGATGAATAAATTTTGTTTCTTTTTTTATTAAAAAATAACTTTTTCATTTTTTTGTTCTATTCTTGACCACTGTTATTCAGTTGTTTCCTGCGTTATCTAATAGCCAGCAATTACTGAAAAAAAATTTGAAAGCAGCGAAATGAGAAAGCTAAAGAAAAGAAAAAGAAAGGACAGAACAGAATAATTCGTTGGAAATTTTAGCAGCTTTTTTTTTTTGAAAAAAAAAATTTTTTTTCTAGTTGCCTGACAAACAAATAAAAAGGTTTCCGAAAACATATATTTGCAATGGCATTTAAGTATAATATGTTGTCTTGAAAGTACTGCAGAGCTTCAACGAAAAACCTATT